GAGCCTCGCAGCTCTTTTGTGGAAGGTGCCAGAGATGTCGCTTTTTTAGATGCAATGCTTGAATCTGGAGAGAAAAATGGAGCACTTGTTCATGTGAAAAAGTTCTAGGTTGATGAGCACTGGATCATCTCTTGTCAACATAGTTGTTTCAAAATGTTTGTTGGAAAAAACATAATTCAAGAACCGATACAGGATCTGTAGCAATCATCTGCACCCATTTAACTTGGTAAACTTTCTTATGGATATCATCTTCGCCCTCAATAAGAAGTTGCAGGCTGTTCCAGCTGGCCTTAATTAAGGCAGCAGAAGTAATCAGTTCTCAGTTATTCAAATCTGTCCATCATAATGTCTTCCCATGTTTGGCTTTTGCAGATAGACAATTGTATCTAATAATTATGAGCTATATATCTGCGAATCTATAAAGCACACCTTTTTCTCCAGTCCATTTTCACTTACCTTGTGGCCCATTGGTTGAGTCGCGTTCTGGTTAGGTTGCGTTCCTCAATGAGAAGGTAATGACGCTCACCTTTGTCTGGAGATCAAATCTTCAATTTTTAACAAACAATTAACTTAACTTATTAATCATTATTCTTGTTAAAAAAAAAAAAATTTTCACTTACCCTAAAATTTGAACCTAAGACATTTAAATTAAAAGATCAAATTCTTACTAATGGAGTCACTTTTTGAGAGTGCCGTTCCACAATGTTAATCAAATGATAGTTTAATGCCTTCCCAACTTGTCTTTCCTGTAACCTATCTTTCTTGGATGTCCATAACTTCGGCTGGTTTGCCCTTTGTGTGGAGGCCCATCATTTTGGCTGGATCTAGCTGTGCAGCCTGTGACTGGATCAGAAGGGAAACTACCCCTTGTCACATCCACATGGGACAACAGGCGTGCAGAATAAGTATGGCACACCTACCCTGCTGAACTAAGAAAAATCACATGCTGCAATTTGACAATATAAATTTCGTTCGTAGTGGCTGTGCAAATTAATGTTGTTTTTTTATTATTAGATTATTCACTTTAACTGTTCAGAATTTGAGGATTCTCTTTGCTTGATGATATCAGTTCATTGTCTGATCCATACCATCCTCAGTTCTTCCTTTCATTGACAAACATATCTTTATTTTTGGCAGGGAGGTTTCATTGTAGATATGGGAGTGCATTTCACTGCAGGACTAAGGATGGTAATATATCACTTCCAACAACACCTAATGGCAAATAAAGTCGTTTGTGTTTTTCAGTAGGAACATTTATTAGCTACAGTTTGAGTTTTCAAGTCTCTGAAAGATAAGGGTATAGAATTTCTTTCTAAGTATTTAGATTAACCATTTCCCTGTATGTCATTGGTAGTTAGAGAAAAAAACTGAAACGTATAATTGATCTAAATCAGGACTTAAGGTCATTCTCTTGATGCTAAAAGTGCTTAAAGAGTATGAGGCTTGCTTGAATGTACTATATTACATAATTGGATTCTTAATAAGATTTATTGTTCTTGTGAAAAGCTTGTTGGATGTGAGATTACCTCAGTTTCAGCTATAACCTCTCATGTGGATAAAACTTTACCTCCCCCGGACATCATATCTTCAAACTTGTAAGTTATCCTAATGAATAAGGTTAAATTTTATCTCAAAGTTTTTTCTGATATAACTGAAAGCCTAAAGGTGTGCTCACGGAATTTCTTTGGCTCAGTAACTTGGAGAATGGTTGCTCTGGAGTCTTCGTATTGGTAGCATCCTCTAGATCACCCAAGGCATGTGGGGAAGTCAGTTTTTCTTTGATCAATTTGCTTGTTCATTTATTCTGTTATACTCAAAATTTTTAATGATTTCAGATATTTTGGAGAGTCGTTGGCTTGAAGGGAACAGTACAAGTTGAGCGTCAAAAGCAAGATGGAAAGCATGGCTACACGGTATAATGAAATTGAATTTTATTCCTTTACCGGAATCTGTTTGATATGAAAATTGCATACTTGAATTTGCCTCCAAGATGTAATTGCTTTTAAAATTTAAGCTCAGCTTCTATCATTCATGTTAGGAGTCAAAATCATTTCTAGATTAGCATTGTGATATTCTTTTGATTTTAATATTTTTTACTTCTGTCTCAGGTTTTATTCTATGGTGCTGATGGGAAATGCAATTCTTCATTCTACCCATTCTGTGGGGTGAACGAAGAACTAAAATGTTTTGTACATGATATATCAAAGGCTACACTTAAGGTAATAAAAGATCCCAATTTCATGTCGGTTTGACTAAAGAATTTACATGCACTGGATACATAGTGATATTTACATAACTCATGGAATTTCATGAGAAGTAAAATGATGTTTCACAAACAAGATCATACAGGTGTTTTGTCATGCTTCAAAATAACTATTTCGATTGATTGTGTCACCCTCATCAAACCCTTCTTTTCCTAGAGATAAAGATGACTTCTTTTAAAATGCTGTTTACCTTAAGATGCCTGACTGTCTTCCTCACATTCTTGCAGAAGGAGAGTGCGTATGAAGC